AATATCTGACGCGTGAGTGTTAATATTTAACGTTGTTTCATTGAACAGATTAAGTACTGCGCTGTATTCTAAATTCATAGACTATGGTGAACATGGTCAACATCTTTATGCAAGATGTTTGCTCCTAGTGCAAATTATGAGTTGTTATGATAACATTCCCAAATATATCAAGGTTTCTAGCAGTTCCAACAATTCTTTGTGACGTACGGTATCAAAATATAAAGCCAAAAATCTGAGCAAAGATCTCACTATCATGATATAGACATCTTTCTTTTCTATGCTCCAACCTGAACTTGTTACAGATATTTTAGTAGCTTGTCTATCATTGATGTTCCACCATCGACGGAGAGTGTGAAAATAAGAATAAGCATAAACTGCAAGAAAACATAATGCATGGTTGTCAGTAAGAGGATGAGCCCAAAATGCGATCTGAAGGTCGCGAACACTAGAATCAAACAGACGCAGAAGTAAATTATGGATGCGACTTCTCACCGGACTTATTCAGCCTATACAGCGAGGCAATCCTGAGAGAATTGGAAATCCTACCGGTATTCATCATTGGCGGCGACAGTCTTAACAATAGAAAATACGCAGATGGCACAGTGCTGATAGCAGACACGGAAAAGAAATGAGAAAATTTCCTACAGAAGTAGCGACGGTGAAGGAGAAGAAGGAACTAAGCATAAACTTCAAGAAGAAAGAATGCCTGGTCATCAGTAAAAAGATGAGCTCGAAAAGCAAATTAATGATCGGGGACACCAAAATAAAGCAAGTGCTGAAATTTAAATATCTGAGAAGCGTCTTGACAGAGGACGGTAAATGCGACACTGAGATCCGTAGACGTATTGGGATGGCCAAGGACACATTCCAAAAGCTAGGCAGAGTATTACGAGACAGGACTACATCTATGTTAACAAAGAAAAATAGTGAACTGTTACGTAACATCTGTCCTTCTTTGCGGCTTCGAATGTTGAACGCTTTCCTGATCGAAGAAGAGACTCGAAGCGACAGAAATGGGGTTCTACAGAAGGATGTTAAGGATATCATGGACCAAGTGTGTGAGCAACGATCGGTTCTTACAGATATTGCAAACAAGGAGAAGGCTTATACTTATTAATCAGAAAGAGGCTGCTGAAATTTCTGGGACACATAATGAGAAAAGAGGGCCTGGAGAATCTGATACTCACTGGTCGAATAGAGGGAAAAAGAAACAAGGGAAAACAACTCATGACATACCTGGCGGACTTAAGCAAGTGGTTGATAGAACGTGATCTGAGGGAGGAAGCATAGGGAAGGAACTTGTTGAAAACTGCAAGGGATAGAGCCATGATCGCCGACGTCCTGAAAGGACATGACACATAAAAAAAAAAAAGGATCATGGTTTTAACCAGGATGTTGAAAATTATAGGTGGCATGCTTTTCTTCAAGGATTTTACTGCTGTTACAATGTCATCATAATTTAGGTTTCTGTAACGACAAGGACGTCAGGATATTCAGTGAGGGTGTTGTATAACTCGCAGCAGTAATCTGCCATCTCTTCTTCATGGCGTTGTATTCTGTATACCTTTCTTTTTGATGTTTTGGATGGTAATAAGGCGAGTGGCTGACAACATGACCCCGGTCACTGATAGTCGCCCTTTCCGATAAAGGCAATCTTAACGATGTATTCTGATTAGTCACGCAAATAAAGAGATATTGAAGCTCCTCCTCAATAGACTGATGTTCCAAAAAAGAAATAGTCGGTGAAGGTCAGGCTGGATTTTGACGTGGAAAAGCATCACAGAACAGATATTCAATAATATAAAAAATACTGGCGATACGAAGAAAACCTCCACCAATAAAGACATGAACTGAGAATGGCATGTGACATTTTGTGGAGCATCGAACAAGTAAGAAAATGTATAAGTTAAATAGCATAAGTAAGAAAAGTGTTGTTCCAGTGTTTCATAAAAAAGGCGTTCGACATCAGTCTCTGTACACTAATGCTGTCTTCTTCCTCTACGCTTTTTGAACGTATCATATGATGCCATTGAGTAACACCAAATCACAGTCAACATAGAATGACACATCACTAATCTTTGCAGATATATAAATAAATCTGTAGCCTAGCTGATGTTTATATACTGATCTTTGAATGGAAGTGATCATGGTTATTTTTCAGCTCATGTGATTTATTTTCACTACAGAATTAAGAGTACTGGAAACGGGCGAGATTAAATCTGTGTATAATATTAACAATTTTTTTCATCATTCTTCTGCAAAACTATTGACGTAAGTACGTATCTATACATTTAATTTTGTTTTCTCTTATTTCTGTTTCCTGTTTTTATATCTTTTCGTTGAATTTCTTTCTCTCTTCATTTTGATCTTTTCCTTTTTCAAAAATATCCATGATGACTTTTTTCTTCTGTTCATTCAGTCATTCGCTCAGCCTCTTTTTTCAACAGTTACAACGTTCGACCATTTGTGTTCGTTTTTCTTTCATATTCATAGACTTTAATCGTCTTCTTTTTCTCACGTCCATTGCTTCCATAATTCTTTCCCCTCTAAATAGCTTAAAAAATTTCATAAATCTTCACAAGATTTCGGAAGAGAATCACCCATTCTATGATGTTTCTTTAATCTATTCTTAACTGTTTACAACTTCCTATATATTTCCTTAATTTTTCATTTATTTTTCCTCTCTATTTTAAAATTATTATCATGTCTTATTTTTCCACATTTACGAAAAAGTTGTGTTAATCAGAAGCTAAATCCGTGCCAAAACTAATAAATATCCATTTCCTTGTCGTAATGATTAATTAAAAAAAAACAAAAAAAAACAAAAAACAAACTATTCTGACATTTTTTTTAATAAAATGCTAGCAATTCAAGTTAACGACAAGCTGATACGCATGCGCACCATGGAGTGTTTCTTTGAAGCAAAATTGAAACAGGCAACATCGAATTCCCGAGAGAAAACAAAATGGCGAGAAAACGTGCTTCTAAAGAGTTTAATTTCTAGAAATAAAAACAAAAATGAATGTAAAATAAAGCACTGAGACCTGTTTTAAAAAACTGAAAAGAAAAATATGTTTTACAATTAAATTTTTATTAAAAATATTTTTCTCAAGAACTAGCAAATATTTGAATAAAAAGTATCAGGATGGTAAAAATGTTTTTGGGTATGTAGTATACATGTAAACAACAAAACACGGAAAAACTTATTCACATGCGTATAAATACATATATAGAAATGCATGTGTATACATACACATGCTTAATTAGGTATACCTAATTATACATTTATATATAATATTTATTTATAAAGATTCTGCTCTTGTTCCAATAATTTTAAGTAACTTTACTTACGTGTACATGTAAAATATCAGATAGAATTTATCTGTAAATGTTTTGGCATGTCTATTTTTGGAATTTCTGGAAAAAGTATTCCTTTCAAAATATTTTAGCATAAAATTTCAGATAGATAGATGATTCCACAAATACACGATCTTATCAACAAACTTAATAACGTCGAACCCAAACTAGGTTTTACCTTTGAATCTGAGTCTTCCAAAATTTTAGCTTCCGAGATATCATGCTACATAGAAAATATAACAGACATTAGCTGGAGGTTTACAGAAAATCTACCAACAAGAATGACCTTATCAAATCTTATTCCCACCACTGTAACAAGATCAAATCTAGAATAAGTATATGATTCTATTTAAGATCACTAAGATCCTGCAGCCCCTAAATCCTACCCTAAGAAGAGAAAAGACTACAATATCTACATAAAAAAATAAACACGATCAGTAAAAATAACGATGGCAATAAATAAGCTAAAAACAGATGCATAACACTAATTTTCTATGTGCCGTGTCCTTTCAGGACGTAGACGATAATGGCTCTCCACCTCCCTCTATTCCTTGCAGCTCTCAACAAGTTCTTTCCCTCTGCTTCATCCCCCAGACCACGTTCTATCATCCACTTTCTTAAGCCCGCTACGTATGTCATACGTTGTTTTCCCTTGTTTCTCTTTCCCCCTATTCGACTCGTGAGTATCAGATTCTCCAGGCCATCCTCCTTTATTATGTGTCCCAGGAACTACAGCTGCCTCTTCCTGATGTTAAGTATAAGCCTCCACCTTGGTTACATCCTCATTAAGACCTCTTCGTTGCTCACATGATCGGTCCATGATATCCTCAGCATCCTTCTGTAGAACCACATCACCGTCGCCTCGAGTTTCTACTTCATCTTTTAGGAAATCGTCCAACATTCGCTGCCGTAAAGAAAGACAGACGTCACATAACAGCTCAATATTCTTTTCTTCGTTGCCAAAGAAATGCTTCTGTCTCGCAATATTCTGCCCAGCTTTTGGAATTCGTCCTTGGAGATCCCAATACGTCTTTAGATCTCAGTGTCGCATTTACCGTCCTCTCTCAGAGCGCTTCCCAGATATGTAAACTGCCGCGTTTTTTTTTTATTCTTGAGTTCCCGACCTTCAGATCGCATTTCGGGCTCACCCTCTTACTGATGACTATGCATTCTATCTTCTTGTAGTTTATGCTTAGTCCCTTCTTCACACTTTCCGTCGCTACCTTCTTTAGAAGATTTTGTGATTTCTTTTACGTGTCTGCTATCTGCACTGTGTCATCTGCGTATCTTATGCTGTTAAGATTATGACCGCCAATGCTAAATCCCGGTAGGGTTTCCAAATCTCTCAGAATTGCCTCGCTGTATAGGTTGAACAGGTCTGGTGAGAAGACGCATCTTTGCCTTACGCCCTTTTCTATTTTGTATATTCACTGAACTCGTTCCCTATGCGCATGAACACTGTTTGCTGCCAGTATAGGTTCTTGATTATTCTGATATCCCTCCCGAATATATCAAGGTTGATAAGCAGTTCCATCAGGTCCTTGTGGCGTACTTTGTCGAAGGCCTTTGCTTAGTCTATGAAACATAGTTACACTTACATCTGCATCTGTATCGCGCTTTCTGATTACATTCTGGGCATGAATATCGCGTTCCTAATTCCGGTGTCTTTAATGAACCCGTACTGTTCTCGTCTTATCTCTGCCCTGATTCGGCTGCGCGCACTGTTCATCGGAATACGGATTATGTGTTTTGTCACGTGGCTCATTAGCCTTATTAGGCTTCTTGTACTAACACCGTTATATTAACTATCCTAAACAATTCATCCAATCTTAACAGAATCAAAATAAATACAACTACATCCAAAATTATTATGGGTATGATCAGAACTAAAAATATACATATCAATAATAATTATGAAGCAGGAATATATAAAAGAAACTACCGCGATTGCGATTACAATACATTGGAGAAACTTGCAGAAACTACAAAAAAACTTTTTTATGAATACAAAAGTGATCTTATAAATAACAATTCATTAAGTGCATTAGTCTTACATAGAAATACATTTAGGCAAAACTTTGATCAAAAGAATGACACACTTATTAAAAGTCACTTACCCAAGCAGAAAATTCACGAGAGTGTCGCTATCGAGTCTTATCAAAATATAAACATAAATCTGCAATTTAGATTTTTCAAATATGTCTAGGAAGGAAATTACTACTTTCCCAAGCCAACATAAATGGCTATAAAAATGTTAAATTAAAAAGAAAACGGTTTCATTCTCAACCTCAACCTAATCCGAAACTAAAATAATTTAAACTTCTTGCATTTTTCCTCAGTCAGTTAGTTATACACTATGCGTGATACACGCTTAGGCGATCATGTATCTTTCGATACATGACAGTCTAGGCAGATTTTTTTTTAGCCTCAGTGGGTTGCCATTTCTTTCTGCGTTAGACCAGTTGCCATCCGAAGCTACAGAACCCGGTCTGTCCAGCTATATATCCATAAAAAAAATCCAAAAAAAAAACGGGAAGGACTTTCAAGCTTGTTGAAGATATAAGAACCAATTGTTTCACTACGTATTCCAACATCAACGGAAGAGATTTCTTTAACTTTTTATAAAAAATTTTCAATCGACTTTTTGATATTTTAATTTTGGAAAATCATCTTCGAATACGTCTTAAACAACATCGCCCACGAGACGACTACGTGATCATATTTAAACAGAACGCTGATCTGTATAAAATTTCAGTTATCTGTTTGAATTAGTTGGGCTCTTATGTCCATCGTCTTTTGTGTTAAATTGTTATAAGTTATAATGTTAATTATGTTTAAATGAAAATGTCCATGAAAATGTCCATGAAGATGGTCTTAAATAGACCGAAACGTCCGACGTCGACTTTATTTTAACATTAATAATGCATATTCAGAATTTTGTTTTTCTGTATTTTTCTTTCATACTGTCGGATTTATATCCATATATTTGCTTATATATATATATATATATATATATATATATATATATATATATATATATATATATATATATATATGAAATTGACAATTGTTTTGAGACATTTTTATATTTATACATTCTTTTTATAGATACAAATATTTAAGTAAATGCTCTGTTTATAATAAGCAGTATTAAACAACATTGACCGGCCTGAACGTCTGAGAAATTTTCACAGAAAATATTCGTCCTCCGATAGGATTCGAACTTGTATCCTATACGGAACCGTCATTTATCTTGACGTCATTTGTTTAAATATGATACGCCATGAGCGGATATGAATGTACGTGAGAGATTCATAGAAGATTGAAGTTCAAATACAGTAAATTCGACCTTGCTAATCGAACGCTCCTCTGTGGCCAAATCGGTTAAAGATACGTCACGCTATATATATATATATATATATATATATATATATATATAATATAAATAAAATTTTTTATATATCCTATACGGTTAAATATATATATAGGAAAAATATTTGAAAATGCAATTGGATCATTACGGATGTTTATTTAGTGTAATTTACCAGTTTCACATTTCTATGATTTTCAGAATTGAAATTGTAATGGAGAGATGTGTGGCTATGACATATGTCTCGCATCTCACTCGAGTTGAAGAAGTTTTTTTTTTCGTTTTATGCAAAAGTAACTCAGATTGATAACTGTTTAAAATGCAGTTTGGTTGATTCATTATGTTCACGTCTTCAGGCATAGCAATACATTAAGTCTTTTTTTATTATTTTCCTTTAATCCCTACACTTGACTGGTACAATTTCTATGTCTTTCTATTCTGAACGATGACTTGTGGTTGTATTATCTTTGTTTGAAGGTGCCTTCAGTATATCCCATATATATCTTCCTTTAACCATTTGCATCATTTACTTCCTATTTATGAACCACACGTTCCGTTTTACAAACTCCATCCAGTCGACATTTAATTTTATCCCTACAGTCACACGTTTCGCTATTAACAATACATTGCTCCATGCTAGACTTGGAATTCTAGGCGTTTTGTCTTTTTACTGTAGTTTCCAAAATGATAGTACAGCTGTAACTTTAATGTATTTCTATTTAAAATTGTGCCATTCAGAACTCTTAGGTAAGTGCATATCAAGCGACTTTAAA